TTATGAACAGAAAACACTTTAGAAACTTTATTTACACTCTCAGGGAGGTAACAGTGAAGGAGCAACTTCGATCAGCCAGAAAAAGCCACTGTGAGAAACAGGAATTTAATAATGCAGGTCCTTTCAGATTAACACAGAATGACTGTTTCAAATGTAAAGTTGCTTCAAGTATAAAGTGGTCCATCCATCAGAACAGCTTTCCAAAAATCACCACAGAATTTATCACTGTAAACACAGGTGAGAACATTCACAGAATCCCTGGAATGGTTTGGGTTGGAAGGGACCTTAAAGAGCATCCAGTTCCAACTCCCCTGCCATGGGCAGGGACACCTTCCACTACACCAGATGGCTCCAAGCCCTATCCTTTTATTCTGCTTTCTCAGAAGTCCACATTAAACAAAACTCACCTAATTCATATCAGCTCCTTAGGGCCTGAGGCCTTAACCAATTCATTTATTTTAATGGTTGACAATGGAAAATTGACCACTCTAACAACACTAAGGGACAGCCCTTAGAATTTTGTCTAGTTAGATAAAAAAATGTATTAGATAGTGCAAAACCCATAAGCCTGTAAGACACAGGGCTCCTCAGCTGAGGATGCACCAGGCTGCACCTGCTTGCTAATGATCAGCAAACAGAAATCTCTGATTAGTAAGGAATATTCCATTCATGTGCACACAGCTATTAGAAACCCCATCCAAACCCCTCAGAACTGGCTGCAATAGAACAAGTCAAAACATCCAATCTCAGCTACAAAAATCTTTCACTGCTGGAGAACCCAGCCACTGGCAAACTCGTGTCTTTGGTGTTCCTCCTTCAACTTACATATTTTTAATCAAGTGAGTTTTCTGCGAGGTCACAGCTGCCCGTGGACACCACCCAGCCCCAAAGGAAGGGGGATTTAAGGGCACCAGGCCACTGTCACCTGCCTTCAATGTCACACCCCCCCCCCCAACCTCCGCACCAGGGACCGGCTCCTGCACACGGAACAAAGCCAGGCCTGAAGGACACTTGGAAAAAAGTCATAGGGGCACAGATCAGAGTTGGGGACAAAGGGGCACCACGAGGAAGGGGACAGGACACACCTCAAGACGTCAACGAGGTACCAGACGAGTCAAACAAAAGCTACTGACAAACAATGCACCGGGTACTTGTTACTGCATTCAGCATCTCCTCAGCTCCCTCCAGCCACACGTTCCAAGAAATACATAATGAGCCATTACTTTAATAGGACCCCAAACAAAGCTGCCTTTTTTTTTCTTTTATCCCCCCTCAAAAAAAAAAAAAATCAGATATGAATGTTTCTGCTTCACCAAGAAATCCAGAGCCTTTTGTGAGCAGATGATGCTACGAGCAGCTGTACTACACGCAGATTCACAATCAAGCAGATGATCTCTTCTTTACCAGCCATCTTGACCTGTCTGGCTCGATTTACATAAACCGTGTCTATTCACTACCACACTGATTATGTAAAAACTCGGCGAAATCTTGACCAAACACGCAGTGCCACATCACTGGCAGGGCAGACACGTAACATGCTGCTGGGAGAAGGTTGTTTAGGAACGCGTTTGCAGCGACGACCCATGTGAAAAGCCCTGGGCTTCACCTGGGCTCACATTAAGGTGCAGAGGAGCAATCACAGCTATTGCGAGACAACACAGCAGCGTGTCCTGGGGTGGGAGAACCACCCACTGCCAAAAAAAAACACGCCTTCCCCCTCGATTTAAAGGTCAACAACCTCGCTTTAATACTGCCGAGACAGAGCAAGAGCAAAAGATAAAGTTTTGTCATCTTAGAAACAGGACTCTCAGCAGCTTGCCAGGTGTGCCAATTCCTTTGTTCATCACCCTTTTCACCACCTAATTTAAAAGTCTCGCAGCTCAAGACACAAGTTATTCATCAACATCACAATCAAGGCTTTTTTTTTTTTTTTTTTTTTTCAAAAAAACAACCCACACAGTGTCTCAAAACAGCTTTTTTTTTTTTCCCCCCTCCTCTTTTCAAATCTAGCTGCGAGGCTGTGCTATCAATTTTAATCAGGCAGTTGTAACAGGAGCTGCTTCGCTTCTGCCAGTCCCCAGGTCTCGGTTTCACCACGGGGAGGAGAGCAGACTTACATTGTCTTATTTAAATCAAGCTCCAGATTACAAGATTTTAATGCAAAAACAGGTATTAAGAGGGGTTTTTAGCACACCGAACAGATGCTTAAGCCGTTCCAAGAGTTCCTGGTCACAAATGTCGAGTCACCAAAGAAAGAGAGATCGCGTTTGCATTATTTATGGCACTAGAAACAGCACTTAGGACATCTCCGATAGGACACGCACTGATCAACTCCTGAAGTGGCAAATGAATCATAAATCCCCAGTCTGAGGTTCAAAAACGAAAAAAAAAAAGAGTTCCTGAAGTCATGGAATTTCCTGGACTGCTTCCATCACGTCTCCCTATTCCCACATCCCAGCTCCCAAGCACATTGTGTGAGCAGTGACAGCAAATGCCCCATTGTTTCAGCGCAGTGACCAGAGAGACTCAGCTCCCCGCTCCCAGACTTCTTGTTCCCGACTGCACTGCAGGGACAGGAGGCTCTGTTTGCTTTTCCAGCACATGTTACACCTCAGGAGATGTGACCTCAGCAGTTCTACAGAACGGCTGAAACTCTAAACACGACCTAAACTCAGCCATACGAAGTTTATTTGAATTTCACTGGCGTGTTTCAACACGCACAGTGAAGATCAAGACCCCGGCAGAGCCGATAAGCAGAGATCAATGGGCTCCCATATTAAAGGCAGAGCACACCAGACTTTGCCAGGTTAAGATCAGAGCCAAAACATTTCATACTTCTGTACTTTCAGCTGCTGCTAAAAATAGTAGAGCAACAGAAAGGAAAATGCTTCCAGCTGTGCACAAAGAGCCTCTGCAGCACAACATCAATTTATGCACTCTAATTTAATTAAAGATTCAGCATTATACTATGACTTTATTGTCAGAGACAGTGTTGCACAGCTGAGCTCACCCTCCATTTCCAGAGCCGAAACAGTAAGAACATTTCCTTATTCAATTTAGTGCGATATGGTTATTTCTCACGAATCAAGGGACTCAGATTCAAGGATTCCCAGTACCAGCTACGCCACGTTAGTGGGAGCAGCCGTATTTTATTCCCCAGTAACTGCATCTTGACCCAGTCTCGTGACAGGAAACATTTAGCATCCCTTAAGGAAAAAAGGTGCACTGTCGGGTACGAGCACCCATCCTGGGCTGCTCTTTTTCAAACAGTTGTTCCGCAGGGGTGGACGCAGCTCTTTCTGAAAACGACTCGACCAAAACAAAACAAAAACCCTTAAAGAAACCAGAACAGGGTTTCCCACGACCTTGCAGCAAACATGTACCAGATTCTGGGGAGGGGAAGGGC